TGGTTTCAAAATCTGGTGCGATCTTTCTCATTTTTGTCCTTGAAAACTTGTTTTCACCAACAACTTCTTTGAATAAGTTCAGAGTTTACCATGGTAATGCTTTGCAATGGTAATAAATATCCTTGTTCCTTGGAGAGTCTCTCTTACTTTTCTCTATTTATGTAGACAAAAGAAAACATTCCATTATGGTTATATGATGAGTTCTAGGACAGAGAACACAGAGGAATATTAGGAAATCAATCATCAAATGCATCCAGTTATAGGAGATGTTAGTTATGGATAAAATGGATTGGCCAAGTATTCTTCAATGAAGTAATGGGTATGTAAGCAGAGGTCTGAAGAGCAGTGGGATTTCTGCAGCAGATTGGAGGCCAAGGGAGTAGGGGTCATGAGTAGGGACAAGTAGAGGGCTTCTGGCAATGGGACAAAGAGGTAGCTTGGAGACTTTGGAGAATTCCATGTTATTTAATTTGGCTGAAGAATTTGGTGCAGGAAGAAGACAGTATAAATACAGCAAGAAAAAATAACTGGGTGGGCCAAACAGCTCAGCCGATTAAAGCCCCTGCAAGTAGGGGCAGGGGATAGGGTTTGATCACCTGGGTCTACCATGCTGGCCCATGGCATGCTGAGACAGCAGTTGAGACTGGGCATGGTGGTGTACGCCTGTAGTCCCAGCTCTTGGGAGGCTGTAAACAGGCAGATCACTACAAGTCCAATCTAATAGTGATACTTTGAACACCCTGTAGACCCTTCCTTAAAAAATACCAAAAAAAAAAAAAAAAAAAAAAAGAAAGAAAAGAAAAGAAAAAAGGCTGAATTGGATCAGGAGTGACCCTTGGCAAAGAGTCTTATGGGGAATTTGATCCTAACCTAAGACTCAGTTGATCATACACAGCAACAGAGTACAGGTGACCTAGGCTTAAATTTACTAGGATGACTCAAGTGTGGTGTGCAGGCAGATGGAAACAGGAAGACCAAGAAAGATGCTGGGGGCTGATCAATGGTGGTGACTCTCACAAGTGAGAAAGAAATATTCTTGGGAGCAAGCTGGGAAGTAGAATGATTAAGGTCTATTGTTGATAATTGGGAGAAGAGAGAGGGCTGTGTGGTGCTGCTCCAGGTAGGCAAGGTAGGAGTAGAAACCTTTACTGGAGATTGAACCCAGACCTTCACAATGAGCTATATCTCCATCCCTTTTTATGTTGTAAATTTTGAGACAGTCTCCCTTAGCCTCTAAGTTGCCCAGGCTAAGTTTCAATTTGAGATTGTCCAGAACATATTATAGTGGTGGGATTAAAACCATTTTTATGACATAGTAAGGACACTACTCCTGTGTTTAGTTTCTGAATGGCGAAGCATGCTTAAAAGAAGCATTGGCACTTTGGTGGTGGTGGGGTGACTTTTAAGCCCTAGTGTTTGAGCTTAATGGCCCAGCTGTGTCAGTTTCTGCACTCATGCAAATAGATCTTAAGCTTGCAATAGATTTTAAGCAAGGCACAAGGAAGGTGTTCACCTGTGGGAACACAGAACAGCAAACATGCAGCATTAGAAACTCTGGTGCCCCACAAGGCAAGAAATAATAAACACTCTACCTTTAATGTAACAAACTTTCCATTCCCCACCCTCAGCTCAGGCAGCTGCACACACAAATCAAAACTTTCTTAAGTCATGGAATGAAAAAAGAAAAAAAAAAAGATCAAGTAATATAAAAGCAAACAAAAAGCACTTCCTGTGAAGTGAATGGAAATTTTTGCCCATTTTATTTTCCAGCCAGAAGAAAAGCAATTCTGAAAATTTAAAACCACAAGTAATTGTATTATGAACCGAGATTTTTGAGAAGGCTAGGTCCGGGAAGGGTTACATTAAGGGGACTTTGACCTAAAACACCATTTACATAGAAGCGAGTCTTCTGCACTTATCACCAAATCTCCTACAAACCAAGAAGCACAGTGATTGGGTGAAAGCAAACAGATGCCTATCACATATAAGTTCACATAACCAGTTGAACTAAAAATGAATTCAACCATGACTTGCACAACTTTGCTCCCCTTGAGGTAGGAACTTTGTACCTAAATTTTATTAGGAAATCTTTTCAAAAGATTTAAATAACTTGGAACTTCCTTTAGGACCTAAGTGCCCTTTCTCATGAAACTATAGGATCAAAAAAGTGATGCTAGGAGTAATTTCTGGCCAGATGAAAACGCACCCAAGTGTGATACGGTCATCGTATGGGTTTACCTGTTCTCCATCTTGTATTGGCTCTGTGACCCTGTGCTGATTACTTCAGGGCTCTGTCATTTTCCTCATCTGTGCCATGGGAACAATAATGGGATGGGCCTGGTCAAGCTGTTCTGGAACCAAATGAAGCATGCTTAGCAAATGTTTGTGGAGTACATGGATGCTCCCCAATTGTCCCTGTGAAACTTCAGTAAGCTCTAGAATTTTGGACAGGGTAGTTCACATGAAGTGAAAGCTCCCCATACTTAGCTCTGGAGCTCAGTGTCAAGTGGGTTAGAAAGTTTCAGTTCACTGAACTAAATTCCTGCCCACATCCTGTCTGCTTACTGGGAAAGGACCCCAGCAAAATGTGGGAAAAGAAAGGAAATGAAAAGGGAGGGAAGGAAAGGGAGGTGGTCAGTAGCTAGTTCCTAGGAGTTCTAGCCATTCAGTCACTTCAGGCTAGTTCAGCCTCCATGAGTTTCTTCCAACCCAATGCTGAGACTCAGGTGCCTTATAAAACACTTGGGGAAGTCACGTGGCTTGTGAATCACAGGAAAAGCCTCCTTCTGCCTTTCAAACTGTCCAGGGTCTCTAATTGTGATGCTGTAGCTCTGTTTTGGACCTTAGACATTGTGGATTCATTCACATCCTGGTATCTCAACGCTTTGGTGGCAGCTTCTCCCTGCAAAGTCCTTTCTGCAGGCTTGGAGTAAGCCTCTCCAGGTTCCAGCACTGGCCTCCCTAGCTTGACTTATGGGTAGGACTGGCATGGAAATCTTGGCATGAATGGGTCCACTGGGTCAAGAATGCAGACTCCGGAGCCATGGTACCGAAATCTAAGCACTGATATTGACTTAGACTGGGTCAGGTATTTTAATACATGCACAGTATAACATAAGTGCACAAATATATATACAAATAATAATCATTGACATACATATAAAACATGATATAAGTATTAACTATATTAAATATTAACAATATTAACTAAGCCAGAGTATATTTTATACATATAATGCTGTGAGACAAAAAGCAGAGTTTACATTAGTTTTAACCTGATCACATTATTGGGAAAATTTCAATCAGCAGGGAGGCTATATAAATATTATTTCTCAGATTCTTGTGATATTCCTCTGTCAGATACCTTTGTACCAATTTCTGAAATAATTTTATTTAGTTCTTGTATTTCAAATGCTTAAATGGAAAAAAGGGACAAGAAAAATATGTCATAGGATTGTCCTGCTACAATGCTGTATATGGTTAGATTTCTAAATTTCTGTGTAAGATATGTAATTGTTTATTCCTTTTTATTTTTTTTTTACTTTTTATTTTTTTCTTCACATTCTGTAGGGATTTAAAATTTAACATATCAATACTTCATGGATAATACTTGTTCCATGCTATGTCTAAGATGTTTGATATTCAGACAAACAGTAAGTTAAGCTCAACTGCCTGTTATAGGGTAATAAGATCATTAAGCTTGTCTTCAGGAGGGTTAACAACTTAAGTTTGTAGACCAAAAATTAGAGAAAAAGAAGGGCTACAAGGATAGCCAACATTTTGGCCCTAGCCTTTCAAGGTCAGTGAGGACTCAGGACATAAGAGAACCTGTACTGTAACATCATGTAGCTCAGTGGTGTTCCAAATTTTCTGATCAAGGAGATTTTAGGGCCACAGAGGAAAGTAATTGACAATGTAGAGTGTGCCTAAGAAGAGTCACTTGGAGAGAAAACATTCTCTCAGGCTTTCACAGAGAGCAAATTTGTCAAGCGATGGCCGTGACTCATCCATATGGCTGACACTGACAAAGGATCTACAAACTGTGGTACAGGGTTTCAGGGTAAATCCTGAGGCGATTTGACTGACCTTCTCAGATACAGAAGATACGTTTCTTGTTATATAGGTCTTGCTTTATCTTGGATTTAACTATCCAGTAGAAAACTATAAAAATAAGGCATAAAAAGTAAAGCAATATTAATATGCTGAGCTGTAAAAGACTCAAGTCAACAACTTCTGACATTGCCAGTTCTATGGATAACCCACTAGTATTATGGACTACTTGACTATAATATATTATTTTGCTGAATTCACACACCTACAATATTTAAATGACAACGGAATACCCATCTCTGACAAAACTAAACAAAAAAGGTGATACAAATGAAGGACCATTTTGTATCTATGTACACAAAATAGGATAGATATATAGCTACTTTCTCTTAATTCAATGAGAAGAAAGATTTGTACTAATAGTGTTTGGATAGGATCAGGATATCATGTCTCCATCTTCTGCTATGAATAACTACTATGAAGACAACCATATGCAATAGATTAATTATTGAAACTCTCTTACTAATCGGGTTTGAAACTGTCTCATTGCTATTTTTTTCTCAATGAAATTAATTAAAAAACCTAAAGGCTTTCTCATCTCTTGAATAAACAGCCTATGACGGAAACGTGTCAAAGTTTCCTATCTTATTTATCATATGGGCATTTGTAGATCTTGACATCAGCAATAACTATTGATCCTGAGAGATGCTTCTGAATGAAGTGGCTCTGAAAACAGAAGAGTTTGCCTTTTGGATTTGTTTTCTTGGAAATAGAATAAGGGTAAACTTTTCCTCTGTCTTTCCAATCATCAATAATCCATGGATTAAATGTTTTACTCCCATAAATTAATAATATTTTCCCTATCTCACCATTAAGACCAATGAAGAGACTCCTCCTTGGCTCAGTAGCAAGTGTGACACTTACCCACTTCCACAAAACCCACATCCTTTTGAGCAAATAAGAAACAACTGCTAACATGAACTTACTGTCAGTTTTGAACACTGAAGGAGAAAGCTGCAGTTGCTCTGGCAAACATGAAGTCAGGTCTCTGGTACCTCTTTGTCTTCTGCTTCCAAGCTAAAGTTCTAGCAGGTGAGTGGCCTATTGAATATTTCTTATAAAGTTATATCTCAAGTGAGAATTAAGAAAAATCAAAAGTAGGAAAATAGGTACAAACAGAAAGTGGTTTTGTTTACTGAGGAATATTTTTAGAAGAGCCCGAGCACGTGGCTAAAGACAGTGTCTTCTGTGTGGATGGCATTTGAGTTTGCATTGCTGCCATTGATATTGTGTTTCAAAACAAAAAAAAAATGCTTCCAGAGACCATTGAATTTTTAAATTACCTGTTTAGAGCTGCCTGTCTACAGATAAAATAGAAAAATAGTTTACTGTTCTATAAGAAAGACAAAAGGCAAAATGACTGTGTTAACAGAATGAAAATTAAATAGTTCTGGCACTTGGGCTAGGAATTATTCTAGGTTAGAAAATAAAAAAGAGGGGCTTAAAAAAGGATTTTGATTTTAATCTTTTTTTTCTTTTGTATTGAGGACAGGTCTACAGGGTCTCATTACATAGATCAGATTCATGGTGATTCACCTGTATTCATCCTCCCAAGTGCTGGGATTACAGGTGCATGCCACCACATCCAGTCTCATTGCACCCCGCAGGCAGGGCTGGCATGGCATGCTGGGTATCGAACCTCAGTCCTTATGCTCTGCCTAAGCACATGCTTTAGTCTGCTGAGCTGTCAGGCTAGCCCTGATTTTAATCTTATCTAAATGGTTCATTGTCTGACATTCATAGGTTACCACAGATACTTTATTGACTAGATATCAGGCTCTCCATGAAGAGTGGATGATTAAAGATATTCTCCAGCCTCTCAAGACATTCAAAAAGTCATGTGAAAGTCTTTCATTATTTTCTCTTGGGTGGTCGGTATCATTCTACGTGGACAATTTAAATAATGCTTCTACTGCTTTTTAATCCACACATTTTGTGCTACTTTTTGCTCGAACTTGGAGCCCTGTTCTATAAGTTGGAGAAAGAAAAGTGAAACTATGTTAAATGGGGGTGCTCCATTAACACAAAGTGTGAGGACAGAGCTTTTAGTAGGCATGGTCTCATCTAGAAATACTTTTTCAGTGGTTTAAAGAAAAATACATTATTTTTCTCTCCAAAAAATTTTCAAAACCAAAATTGGATTGATCCAGTGTTTGTTCTTGTCTGTCCCAAATGCTCTTAAGAGGAATGAAGAATTAGGATTTACTTGTAACAAAGCCCAAGAAAGGTTTTGGGCTAATTGGTTATTTATGCCTTTTCTACAACCCAATGCACACCTTTTGCAGCATAAGTGACAAATGAGTTGCCCTGGAATTGACATTAATTCATTCACTCGTTCACCAGTTCCTCCACCCATTCATCATGCAGGGCTGAGCACTTGCCACTGTGCCAACAGCCAGGTGTACAACAAGGTCACTCCATATTTTCTTGAAACAAACTGGATACTAGGGATGGAAATTCATGAAGCAGTCTCATGAGTTAAAGATAATTAAGGGCAAGACTCAGCTCTAGAGAGACTGTAACAAGGAGCATGACTAGGTTGGGTGGATATGGGGGTGGGGCTGGGGAGCAAGGTTCACTGACGTCTTTTCTAAAGAAGTGTTTTTGAATTGAGGTTTGAATGATAGGTAATAATCATTGCAATTATAGTGTGAAGGCGGGGGAGAGTACCTTATGGCTCAGAAAAAGTGAGTACCTGTGTCAGGAGAGCAGAAGGTGAGGTCAGAGAGCTGGAAGGAGGGAGATCTGAGCTCAGAATGGGAAGAGGGTGCATCTGGTGCAACGTGAGCCTGGAAAGGAAAACGAAGGTCTTCCTCTTCAGACTTAGGACCATGTAATTCTCCACTGTTCATTATTTTATTTGAAGTTATAAATTTAAAGAGCAGTTAGGAAGTCACTTTATGTTCTATAACATTTCCAAATCAAATCAAATTACTTTTTATTATTGAAAACAGATTTTAGACTATCTTCCAAGAACATCTGTTTGAGCCAATAGAACATGTCAAACTCATTTGTGCCACTACTATTGTGGGATCATTACAATTTTCCAGGCTAAGCTGATGAATGAATTGTACTTCTGGAATGATACTGATTTTAGATTTCCAGTGATAAGCCTAGCCTTCACCGTCACCACACAGAAAATCATGCTATGTGCCATGCCATTTTCCAACCTGACAGGTGGCAAAACTGAGGCATGTGTGGTTAAATGGTGATCATAAATACAGAGATGATTGTCATACTCAAAATCCCACCATGACACATACCTCCCAAAACTACAATTTTAAAAGCAAAAGCAAAGAGCCAAACTTGAATGAAGTTTTAATACTTTCAATTCTGTAAACTTTCTACCTATCCAAAGATGAAGGGAGTCTCACTTTCACTCACTGCTTCCAGAAAGAATGTCAGGCCAGGAAAGTGGTCTAAGTGGCTTGTTATACAATAATTAATATCAGAACCAAGATCAGAAGCTCATATGTCTGACTCCAAGCTTTATGTTCTATCCACACTTTGTTGAAGTAGCAGAGGTATAGTACAAATCTCAAGGGAGAGAAATTTTGATTAATTTTGTATTTTTTAAGCAAACCAAGAATCTTGGAAGAGTTCCAATCTTTCTTTGATGAGGCTCCATGTAAAATTTCACCAAGTCTTGTTTTCTTTTTTGATTCTAGAACAATAGGAGGTTCTTCCTTCTAGAAGTATCTGAAAAAATGTGGGCTTCTAACTGCATTCAGAACATCTTTTCTCTGGGATTTATCAGGCGTTGAGACCACGCAGGTGAACTGTTCAATTCTGGTTTAGAAAGACCACTCTGAACGTAGTGTCTGGGATGCAGCCTGGTTGGAATGACTGGTGGCATGACTGGTGTTGCCTAATAGAACCATTTGTCTCTTGGGGGTGTTCTGTCAGGAAGCTGAAGGGCATCCCGGTGCAGTGTACAATCTGAGGCTGTACATACCACCCCTGAGTTCCACCACTGCATCTGATCCTTCCCGAAAGAATTCTGAGAGAAGCTTAAAGAGATGCACTGACTTTTCAGCCGCTCCCAGCCTCCAAGAATTTTGCAGAAATATCTTCTTTTGGAATCAACCCTTCTAGTATTCATGTAGAATTTTAAAAGCAAATCTGAATTGCAGTTTTTCTTTTTATAGATGAATGCAAATCATTCTTGTTCAATATGAGAAGATTGTTTTTATTTGTTCAGTATTGTGCTTATTTACTATTTGTTTTCCTTTGTTATGAAATCTGTTTCTCTCTTATTTTTGTTGATGCAATGAAATCTGTTCAAACTCCCCTCTTTGCCCGTGGAATCTTAAGTGATCACCATATTCAGGGAAATCTTAACTGAATGTCTATGTATGCCTTTCCTGATGTGCCTAACCATGATCCGCTGCACTGACATCAGAACCTGAAAATGTCCTTGCCTTGCTACTTTCGTACTGTCCTCTATAGTGCAGTCATACCCCATACATGGGTTCTATTTAAAAGTTACATCTGTAGACCACTTCTAGATTTTCTCTCACAATTCTATTTCAAGAATCACTGGTTTGGGGCAGACAAGATAGCTCAGTGGACAAAGTGCCTTCTTAGGCCAGTACAGGGACCACTGAGATTGGGTGTGGTGGTACAGGCCTGTAATCCCAGTACTGGGGAGGCTGAAAACAGGAGGATCACTACCAGTCTGAGCTATGTAGTGAGACCCTGTCCAAATACATAAGAAAATAAAAACACTGGTCTGGGGATATAGCTCAGTGTTACAGTACATGTCTGGCAAGCACAAAGTCCTGAGCTTGATTCCTGGTTAAAAAAAATGCTCCACATGTACATCTGATCTCACCCATTATTCTGGACAACATCAGTCTGGACTTGTGTGACTGTTTTCTAATCTCCAACAGCCATTCTTTCCTCCAGGTCTTCTTTAACGCCCTGAGTCCCAATCTAGGTAAAGACATCTCTCTTTTGCCCTGCTAGGTACCTGCTGTCTTCTCTGGGAGTTGGGCTCTTGGGTTTAATCATTTTCTCTCAGTGGTCTCTGAGTTTCTACTCACTGTCTTCTAGCTTTAGGGTTTGAGTGAAGAGCTCCAGGCCAATGTGAATCCCATTCTCTTACAAATAGCTTCAAAACAACAACAACAACAACAACTCTAGAATTTTACAGTTTCTAAATCTATTCATTTAAATACTGAAATTCATGGATTCTGCTGGTTGTTTGTTTCTTTGAAAGCTCTAAAAAGTTCATTATTATTGCTTTAGAGTCTATCCTTTATTTTCTTTAAAATTGAGAACTAGATCACTGGACTAAGAAACTCATTAAATTTTTGGAATCTAGTATCAGATTTATCTACATTCAAATCATGGCTCCACAATGTTGACTCTATTACCTGGGGCCAGTTATTCTAGAATCAGTTTCCTCAACAAGCTTCTCTGAGGTACAAATGATGTATTTCATATAATGCATTAAACACAGTACCTTATATATTAAAAGATCTCACTATTTACAAGTTACTGCTGTCATTATGTGGAAGCCTGAAAACTACTGAGGTTTCAATAATTGGCTGGGCATCATTCAGTTTGAATCTTTGCTGTTGGCATGTAAAAATAATTGTTATCTGGAATCTGTCAAACAGGTCCTCTTTCTTACTTTGTTTTCTTCTCTCCTTGGTCCATTCCAAGGACGTTTCCTAATATCAGGTTTAGCCTTCATATTCTCTATTCTTTTACTAAAAATATTATTGAGCTTCTACTGTGTTTCAAGTCCTGGGATTATTTAGTCAACACAAAGTAACCCTTATCCTTGTAGAGCTGATGGTTAAATGAGGAAGAAAGAAAAAAAGGATTATGTTTTAACATGATATGCATTATAAATATATTGGTTTAAACAAAACATTATTGAGGGTACAGATGTAGAAGTCTTTGGGCAATCTCAGAAATACTTCATGAGAGGTATTGACCTTATGCATACTTTTTAAAAATGAATAAGTGTTTTTAGTCAGATAAAAGGGAAATAAGCTATTGTAGTTTATAGAGACAGACGT